CACCGCTCTCAACTCCAATTAAAACAACTACTGGTGCACGCACCTTAAACAAGAGAAGAAAATGACACAGCAAATCTGCCGTTTCATTCAACTTCACCACTCAATTCAATTCCAATTTAATTGAACATCAAATTTCCATTTATTTATTCCATTACTCATTATTACCTACCTACCCACCCATCATCTCTCACCTTTCTTTCGTGTTCTTTACCATCTTCTACTCACTACAATTCTCATTCACAAACAACTACATACCTACCTACCTACCTACCACCTCCACACATAAAACATTACAAGCATTGCAGTACACCTGAGATGAAGCCAAGCACCTCCTAAATTGATGAATCAACTAAGTACAATACCGCAATAACGTCGGCGAATGAAATGAAATGAAATCGAAATTAAGATTTTATGCCCATAATAATAGTGATTTGCTCAGTCGACAAGATAACAGACGAGAAACACGACAGCAAAACTAAATATCTTATGAATTTAAAAAAATCCCATTTCGGCTCCTTCTAATATACCATACTCTTAGTTTGTATCGCTATTATTATTATTATCATCATTATTGTTTTTCTTATTTTTATTATTATTATTATCATTATTACTATTATTATTATTGCTGCATACTTCAAGTACTAATACTATATAAGTACCACCTACTTATCTATCTATAAAATCATCCGACTTCGAAATACCAACAGAAACAACGATACCTAGCACCCTACCGAACGTCAGTATTGAGTTGTCATTAATTTTCTACTTGTTCTTCTCGAATTACTTCCGGTTTAAAAGCGTTTAAAACAGCTATGCTTTAGTTACTGTAGTTTAGACATTAGACATAACACATAATAATGCTGCAATGAACAGATAGATCGGATTGTTTGTGAGAAGACACTCGACTGTGTATTGATTTATTGGATGATAGTAGAGGTGAGTGTGTTGCTGCTTGATTTTGATATGTGATGACATGATAAGAAAATACTGACAGATGCACGGACGTGGGCAAATGGTTAAAAGGAGGGAGGGAGGGGGAGTTGCCTTTGCATGACTACTATTTGCTGTTGTTACCCTGAGACTGACTGACCAACAGCTTAATGAAGTGATGAATTGACCAAAAAAGAAACGAATAAATAAATAAACAAGATGAATTGCTAGTGAATGAACAAGCGATTAATTGATTATTCGCTAACGTCCTCCCGCAAACAGACTGTTTTGCTGAGTGATGAACACGCAACGAATGAATAATGAATCGTCGTCGTCACTCATACAAAATTTTTGAAGACGACGACAAAAATATTCGCCTAGAAACTACGTTAATTACTTGTTATTGTACAAGCAATGTCTTCTTGCTGCAGTAGCATCAGTTAAATTAGCTGCAATTGCTTTAAATTAGCTAAGTGTAACCCTAACGAATGCGTAAGTGAATTGAAACGACAACGAATTATTATACAGTTATACAGTGAATTTGAATGTGTACGAATGAAATGTTCGCTTAAATACCACTTCAAATTACCTACTCAACATAGCAGTAATAGCAGTAAGAGTAGTGATAATATTTAAAATTTTATTATTCCTAACTATAATAATATTGATAAGAGTAAGTGTCGCCACTATGACTCACTCTGCTAACTGTGCTAATTAATATGTGCTAATTAACACTCACGTCTCATCTCAGCCCCAATTTTGTCAGTCACATAGACGACAGTACTTGAAAATGCGAGTATTTCAACAACAATTTCAATGCTTTCTTTCCGTCAGAAAGAATTTCAAAGCAACCGCAATTGACTGCAAAAAATATCGACCGTGCTCTGCTCTGCTCTCAAACAATACAATCAATGCAGGCGGCGTTTTCCTTTCCAAATACTACTCCAAATGCAGTCAGTTACTCGTAATTACTATAGGCTATAGGTTACGAAAGCAACCACTAGAAAACTTAGCCACTAGCAGCAGCATCAGCACTCAACTCAACTATCAATCCAATTCGCTGCTCCATTTTCAGGTAAATCAAGAATAATACGTAGATGATGAATGAAGAAGGTCGGAAAGCATTCCAACCGGATGCAACAATGAATAGATAGATTACTGTACAATGAAGATAGCACCAACAAGCGATCGATCCTATGAGGAGCTGCTGCTGCTGCTGATGTGTAATCATTTCAGAGTTGAAGAGAATAGACGACAGATAAAAGATGAAGGGATATGGTAGCCAGTCATGCACACAATAGAATAAATGTGCACGTTAGATGTGAGCTCAGAGCTGACAGCTGCGAAACACCCTACGGGCAATGATTTACGACTCTTTCCCTTCGCACAACAGGTAGAATGCAATAAGAATTATAATCAATCCTTATTAATATCATCATTAGTGTGTGTTGTACGTATTGTATTTGTTCTTGGATTATGATTTATGACTATTCATGTCGTCTCATCACTACTATTGCTGCTCTATTATGTTTTGGCACATCGCACATGACAGTTATAGCTACATAGATCAATCCATACACACAGAATACGAATCGAATTGAATTCTTCTCAAAAAACTCGAAAAACAGGACAATTGTTTAAAGTGTGCTGCTGCTGCTGCTTAGGCACTGATTTGCTGATTGCTCTACGGCAACAATAAACTATTCGTTTGGCCGCTCGTCCATCCATTCACCAATCCTATATACATACATACACACATATACTACTTATACCAATCTAACACCTAATTAATCTCATCCCAAATTGTCCCAAATTCATAAGTCCTTTTTCCAACGGCTCACCATCAACAATTACATGTTGCAAAACACAAGAAAAGCCCTGCAAGAGCGCATGAGTAGACAAGAATATTCGACAGAAAACGCAATCAGTATTCATCTGACAAATAAATATCACTGATTCTATAATAGAGAATAATGAATAATCAATCCATTCCACGGAGCACTCAATCGAAAACAACCAATAATACAGATTGCTGCTGCTGCAGTAGAATGCATGGGAAAATACCGCTGTAATATCGCAAAGGTTTGACTGAAGTTAGAGGTTGAATGCGGAACGTGAAGATCGGGGGAGGGGAGGGAAAATGCAAAGAAGGAAGGAATAAATGAATGAATGAATGACTTATGAGTGACGGGTGATGGCTGAGCGGTGACTGGTGACGGCTGTATGTTGCTGGCCGCGTATCTGATTGATCAGGTGATAAAAGTTAGATCAGGTGCAGGATCAATCAAACAATCACATATGTATATATATATATATATCGTGCTACTGCTAGACCTACCTCAGCAAAAGCAGCCATAAACAGTGCATAAATAAAACCACTGAACTGCCTAACTCTACCTTACAGCTACTAAGTAACATGCTAGCAGCAATTCAGCCTGCTTTTTCACACATCATACTATTAAGTTTCTGATCATCTCAGTGTCTCGTCTCAAATACCTTTGCGGTTCTATGCCAGCCACCAACCTCGCTCCAATCTTCCATTGCTCCAATATACCTACCTACCTACCTACCTATCGTCTTGTGTTTGCTGATCTGCCTGTGATCAGATGCAAGTGGTAGTGATCAGTCATTGAGTTCGTCACACGGACACGAATGTCATTCGGATGTCATTTATAATAGATTGCTGCGTGTGTGATAAATGGACACATAGATAGATATTTAAGATAAGTTCTACAATAGTAACGACTTGTGATGTGAACGCCTGCCTGGTGAACCTGCTGATATCTTGATATCTTGCGTGAATCACTTGAATAGATACTACATTAAATGTAATAACGTTTTTTGCATTTGCAACACTAATTCGTGCACTGTTACTACCTCTTAACTGAACTCATATGGGTATGTACGTACGTATCTATCAATACTACCATCTCAAACATTCTTTAAATACATATGTGAGATACATAGATAGATTGACAGGTGCGATGGATGGACGGATGGATGGATGGATGGATGGATGGATGGATGGATCAACTGCGACTGCATCGAGTGCGTTTGCGCTATACAGATAGATACAATCACCTGTTCAAGTGAGCCATCCATCTTTAATTATAAACTGTTGCAAAAAAAAAATCAAAATCATAAACTTGCAAGTTCAGATCAATTCAGCCCAATGATGAACGCTAACGTCATCACTCTAAACACTCAGTCGTAATGTACTGATGATGGTGAACGTTACATTAAAAAGAACG